CCCCCCCCCGAGTGCACAAATTTTTGTGCACCGGGCCTCTGGTATATATATATATGCCTAATATGCTAAGTGTCCGACTGATTGGTCGACCATTTATTTGGTCGACTGCTTGATCAGTTGCTATGACATGCACTGACCACCAGGGGGCAGACGCTCTGATTGGTAGGTTAGCTTGCTGCTGTGGTCCGGCCAATCTGGACTGGAGCCAACCTCCCACGGTCCCTGTCTGGCCTCTAAAATATTTCTTCTAATTAATTTCCTTTCCATGTGCATGAATTTGTGCACTGAGCCTCTAGTTCTTACATAATAAAATGTAAACTTTAGTTGTATCTTATATTGAAAGTATATAATAATCTCTAAAGTTGTTTTCAATATATTAACATGGCCCAGAATGTCAAGTAATTCTAGAAGAGTATTTTAATAAAACTACTGTTTTTTTCCAAACAATATCTTTTTAGCTTTCTAGTAATTTGGTGTTAGATCTGTATAGTCCAGTGATGGCGAACCTTTTGAGCTCGGCATGTCAGCATTTTGGAAAACCCTAACTTAACTCTGGTGCCGTGTCACATATAAAAATTTTTTGATATTTGCAACCATAGTAAAACAAAGACATATTTTTGATATTTATTTTATATATTTAAATGCCATTTAACAAAGAAAAATCAACCAAAAAAATGAGTTCGTGTGTCATAGGTTTGCCATCACTGGTATAGTCTATTCTCTTTTGCTCAAGCCTATTCTTATAAAATAAACCATGTAGATATAAAGACTTAAATATGCTGAACTTTTTTTGGCTTACATGTTATAGATTATTTAGAAATGAATGTGTATACCAGACATTTTACTTTAGATTTGTAAGATATTGTGGATTTTATTGCTTCAGTATAGCTATTCATCACTGACAGTTGTCAGAGATGCCTAATACAGATTTCATTCTTTCACTCCTTTCTCTTCTTCATGGGAAGGAGAGATTTGTATGCCATTTCATTTTCCCCTCACACATTGCTGTGAGGTGAACATTATGTCACAGATAAGGCCGAAGGTTAAACGGCAGTCAACAAGGAGTAGAGGCAGGATTTGAGCTATGCCTCAAGACCTCGGAGCACATGATATTCAGCTCTAGGAACAGAATGACCTACAAGTTTAACAGATTACATTGTTGAATTGGCCAGTATCAGCATAATGATAACTAAGGTTTGACTGTTTACTATGTGCCAGGTATTATGCTAAATGTTATAGATAAACTTATATGAACAATATATTGGATTTTAGTTGTACCTATTCCTCAAGTAGGAGAGTGAGTAGTACTTCGCAGCACCGCGTTCAAAAGTTGATTAAAAGAGGAATCATGAAATCTCCCCAAAATATATGCTAATTCTCTCTTTCTCTCTTTCTTCCTTTGTTCTCTTTAGGGCATCCAATTCTACACTCAGCTAAAGACCATCACTTCTCAGTGGAAAGAAGAAGATGCTACTCTTTCCTCACCTGCTGTGGTCATGCCTACCATGGGCCGTTAGAATGAGTTGTTCCAGACTCAGTCCATCCTGAGTCATCTCCCTTTATGCTTGACCACCTTCATTTGCCAACTTTGTTCAGATCAGATCCCTGAGAATGGAATACCTTGTAACTAAATCTTTCTCAGGACCATTAGCCCCTGCACAGTTGCTATAGAGAGACTCCTGGTGTAAATCTGAAACCGGATTTACTTACTCTTCATACTTCTCTTTTTGAGGTAACTGTTGTTAACTGTGAAATGTTAATCTGAAGGAGAGTTTAGAGCTGTTTTCTAAAAATTCTTCCCTCTTCTGATAACGTGAAGGGAAGATTAGTGTTTGTAAAGATCATCCATAATTCACCCTTTGGTTGACCTTCAAACAGCCCTACATAATTGCCAGTGGGGGATACACCACTGCCAGGCTTTCCTGAGCCTATCATCCCATACTACACAAGATATAGTCCATTTCTACTTATCCCACCGTTGTGACAACTGTTTCTTTCTTTTTGCTGAATGCCACTTTGTCCTAGTGATTCATGACCACTAAATTCTATCATCACCTCTGTCCTGCTTCTTCAAATAATTTTTCAAAGATACCTCAGTATGCATTGGATAAATCTCCATTTTGTTGTGTGTGCCAAATGTTAAAGTTTAGGGTTTGCTTCAACAATTATTAATTAACAATTCAGTTATTAACTCAGATGCCAATAGGTTTTTTGTTTGTTTCTAGACCCAGATATCAAAGGGAGTTTGCCTTAAGCAAGTCTAGCCTGATTATACTTTTTAATGAAACAACCCTTAATATAGAATAACTGACTAGGGTCTAAGACATTTTTAAAGCTTTTCATGACATAAAGTAGTAAAAAAGAAATGCTTTGCCCTGCCTGATGCGGCTCAGTTGGTTGGAGCATCATCCTGTGCACCAAAAGGTGGTGGGTTTGAATCCTGGTCAGGGCACATACCCAGATTGTGGGTTCAATTCCTGGTTGGGATGTGTACAGGAGGTAGCCAAACAATGTTTCCTTCTCCCTTTCTTTCTTTCTTTCTTTCTCTCTCTCTCTCTCTCTCTCTCTCTCTCTCTCTCTCTCTCTCTCTCTCTCTCTCTCTCTCTCTCTCTCTCTCTCTCTCTCTCTCTCTCTCTCTCTCTCTCTCTCTCTCTCTCTCTCTCTCTCTCTCTCTCTCTCTCTCTCTCTCTCTCTCTCTCTCTCTCTCTCTCTCTCTCTCTCTCTCTCTCTCTCTCTCTCCCTCCCTCTCTCTCTCCCTCCCTCCCTCCCTCCCTTTCTTCAAAATAAGAAAAAACATATTTGAAATAAAAGAAATGCTTTGACACATTCTTTTGCTACCATTAATTCAACTATGTCTTTGATGTAGCTAAGCTTTAAGTCAAATAGATATTGATATGCTAATCAAAACAGCTTCTGCCTTTTTACTCTACATTCAATTGAATCCCATCTTTCTGATGCAGTTTTCACCCAGTGAACTGGGAGAAGGCTTCTGGCTCAGGTAGAGTAAGTAATCTCTGGTCCCTAGCCAGATGATATAGGTCATTTATTTTTCTGTTTCCCTTCAGTCATATGGATAATGCTGACCTACTCCATAGGAGTTACTCAGTGAATTAAGGATAGTGAAAACCTTGAAAATGTTTGTACACTCTACATAATTTAGGCTTATTACTACCATCTACTGATAGAATATCAAAATCTTCAGTCACTTAAGGCAGTGATTTTCAACCTTTTTCATTTCATGGTACACATAAACTAATTACTAAAATTTATATTTTTTGCCAAGCTGACAAAAAATTGGTATAATTTTGATTAATTTACAAAAAAAATAATAACAATAATAATTACCTACCTTTTTTGCTCCAAAGTTACTTTTTTCAAAATCAGGTGCATATACTTATAAGGATTTTTGGTACCCAGAATTAACCAATCAGATACAACCTTATTATGCAACATGACCAATAAGTTGCAACTGTATTATATGACCTATATATTTATGGTTCAAGAGAGGGCATTCTCCTTTGAGACAGCATGGAGGGACCTGGAGAGTATTATGCTAAGTGCAATAAGCCAGTCAGAGAAAGACAAGTATCACATGATCTCACTCATGTGGAATCTAATGAACAAAATAAACTGATGAATAAAATGAATCCAGAGACATAGAAGCGTAGAACAGACTGTGGAATCTCAGAGGGAAGGCAGGGGAGTGTGGGTGGGTGGTAAGTGATCAACCAAAGAACTTGTATACATATATGCATAACTCATGGACACAGACCATAGGGTGGTGAAGGCCTGGGACTTGGGGGTGGGGGTAAAGGCGGGCAGGCAGGCTAGAAGGGGTCAAGGAGGGCGGGGGGGAAATGGGACAAATGAAATACTTTCAACAATAAAGATTTAATTTTAAAAAGGGGGAGGGCATTCACACCAGACAGCTATTTTGTGTTGGCTACTGTCATTCTTTTATTTGGCAATCTAAGGGAAAAGAGGTCAGTGCTCCTGACTAGTCAGGTTTTGCATATTTTAAAAATTCTTATGGCACACCAGTTGGAAATCACTGAGTTAAGGTGACTAGAATTTTAATAAAATACATTTATGACCCTACTGGGTCTTCCTGATTTGTTTTATTTCAGTTTTGCCTTCCTATAGATGAGGCAGTAGAAATTTATAGAATGTCCCTTGTTTTATCTCTTATCACAGCTGGCAACTGGTAGTGATATTTAATTCAATCCAACAACTAGAGGCTGGATTGAATAAAAGGTCATACTCTCTAAATTCCAAGTAGAATTGAATCACAGAGACTCCTAAATTTTCCTTACATTTAACGGAAATCACTTTTTAAATAATACTAATCAGGAGACAGCCAATCAATGATTCTTATCATTGATGTTTCTCCCTTCCTCTATGAAATCAATAAAAATATATTTTAAAAAATACTAATCAGAATCATGAAAATGGCAGGTATAATTAAATTAGAAGATGTTTCAATATTTAAAAAAAGAAGAATTGTGTTCCTGTAACTGGAATCAATTTATTTGGTTAGTTACTTGCTACTCAGAAGTTTCTTATTTCTTAGATAGAAAAAACAATTGTACAGTTGTTTATGCTAGTAGCAGCTAAAAAAAATGAGTGTTTTGTTTTCATTTTGCTCTGATGTGGCCTCATTCTCTGATTTTACATCGTACTCATTATGAATAACAAGCACAAATAAAAAGCTCTTAAAAAGAAAATGGTGCCATACTTACTTATACCAGTAAGGCCTCTGTCCCCTACCTGTAGTAACTTAGACTTCCCACCTCTGTCCAAAGCCAAGAGTTAAATGGGTCGTTACGTTTTAATTCTTACATAAAAGATAGTACATATTTTGGCTAGGCTGTGGATTTCAAAAGGCAATTTATATGTTTTCAACACTAAGAGGCAAAACATGCATTTGCATTAAGTATATGCCTGCCTTATGTGGATAGTTATAAAAATGTCCACACTCTCATACTAGTATTAAAACTCATTTCACTGATACTTGAGATAGTAGAGCTAAAGAACTGTGACTTAGCAAGAAGCTCATGGGGAAAGTTAACAGTTATATGTATTGTTTGGTTAGATTACAGACTCCTTACCATGTCAGACTCATGTGATCCTTTCTGAATATTGGATATTACCAGTTCATGAGAAGAGTCTGAGATTGGTACTTGCTGGGTGATGAACGTTTGATCTTGAAGCTTACTTTCATCCCTTAAATAAAGACAAAGAGACCTGTCAACTGCCGGAAGCCGGTCCATCCTTGCTGCTTGACACAGTCGCTGCAGGGAAGAAACATCTGCACAGCATATGTTTCAAGGGACCTGGCATATATAGCATATTGTTCTTAATATGTTTGCTCTCCTTAGCGCCATGTGTTTTAACCAAGGTCACCTCTCCGAGAAAGGTTGTTTCCCCAGGTGGGGATTTTTCCCTGAGGTTAGGGAGGGGATACAACCCCTTAACTAAGTGCCAGGCGGGTAGGACGGATAGGACTCCACCGTAGGAAGAAGGTGGATAGTCTTCGCCGACTCCGTCCACACCTTTGGGGACTCCTGGACCTGCTGGGGCTGGACCCCAGCATCTGGCGCCCGAACAGGGACCCTTAGGTAAGCCCCCCATTCCCCTAGGTAAGCCCCCCCACGCTCAGGACGGATAGGACTCCACCGTAGGAAGAAGGTGGATAGTCTTCGCCGACTCCGTCCACACCTTTGGGGACTCCTGGACCTGCTGGGGCTGGACCCCAGCATCTGGCGCCCGAACAGGGACCCTTAGGTAAGCCCCCCATTCCCCTAGGTAAGCCCCCCCACGCTCAGGACAGATAGGACTCCACCGTAGGAAGAAGGTGGATAGTCTTCGCCGACTCCGTCCACACCTTTGGGGACCCCTGGACCTGCTGGGGTTGGACCCCAGCAGTCAACAACCATGCACACATGGAATCCAGTTCAGAACAATAGAACCATTGTGATCAGGCTCATGTTCATTGCTTTGTCAAGAAAGACTTTACTTTTGCCCTGGCCAGATGGCTCAGTTGGTTGGAGCATCATCCCATACACCAAAAGGTTGTGGGTTTGATCCCTGTCAGGGCACAACCTAGATTGTGGGTTCGATTCTGAGTCAGGGCACGTAGAGGAGGCAACTGATTGATGCTTCTCTCACACATTGATGTTTCTCCCTTCCTCTCTAGAATCAATTAAAAAATCATATTCTTGGATGAGGATTTTTAAAAAAGAGAGACCTTACCCAAATTCCTCTGTTTGTCCATTGTCTGGAACAACATATTCTGAACCTGGAGGTCTAGAGCTCTGATTATATTTCCTGTGGTGGGTAAAAGTTAACAATGAGGCAGTGTCTCCTTGTGCCCTTATTTCAACTATAAAAGTGCTAAATTAATGCTTCCATTGGATGGGCTTCTCATTTTCAAAAAAATGATCTTTTACACACACATAGAGGCAGTGTAATGTTAAGGCAAGTTAATATAAACTTATAGTCTCTTAAAGTTGAGACATGTTGAACTTAAGAAATGGGAAATATTTATGGAGATGATCATGATGATGCTACATAACAGCTATTAATGGTGATGGGCAAGGTTAAACCAGAGTACTGACCAAAACAAAACAAACATAAAACATGGCCAGAAAAATTTCCTTCCTACAAAAAGAACCACAGAACACAGCATAAATGGAGAGACACCGTATAAAAATTTCTCTCATACTTTGGCAAGTCTGGTTAAAACACAGGAAATAAACATATCACTAAGTCAATATTTTAATTTGAAAGTGAGCTTAACAGTTACAAAAAGTATAGTAGGTTTTTTTTGTTCTGTTTTTTGCCAGCAGATAAAGACACATATCTCCTAAAACTTGCCCTCAACTAGGTGCACATGAAAGAAGCATAAATCTATTCAAAATCTGGCTATCCTCGCCCTAGCTGGGTAGTTTAGTTGGTTAGCGCATTTTCTTTGTCCTGATATGCCAAGGTTGTGGGTTCAATCCCCGGTCAAGAAGCAAAAAATGAATGCATAAATAAGTGGAACAACAAATCAATGTTTCTCAAGTCAATTTTTTTTAACCCATTCAAAATCTGGCTATCTTAAATAGTCTAATAATGTACTTTAGATACTACCAGTGCCTAAGTTATAGCCAGAGTTGTTGCTGATGCATTAGAGTACAGTTTATTGATTATACTAGTACATACCCCTTTGACTTAGCTCACTCACAAAAATACTGAACTATTGGATTCACAATCATATTCAATCTACTGTGAATTCTTACCAACTTCCTAATTAATCTACTTTCCTTGGTAGACTTTTTATCATTTAATTCCTCCCTAATATTAGGTTTCTTACTTAATCTCATCTTTATCTCAACATTTCACCACTCTATTCCTATATTCTTTTTCCTTCATCTAACACTGGCATGAGATTCCAGTAGGCTTAGACATGGTTTCATTGTGGCCAGGTTCAAGTTCATTACTAAGATTTCACTCAATTTCCTGTTTCTCCAGTATTGAAAACAACACAGTATGGAACTCAAGGCCTGGAACTCAGGCTGTATTCCCTGGGAGAAGTCAACTCACAATGAGACAGACATTCAGTACTTATAGTCTAGATCAGTGATGGCGAACCTTTTGAGTTCGGCGTGTCAGCATTTTGAAAAACCCTAACTTAACTCTGGTGCCGTGTCACATACAGAAATTTTTTGATATTTGCAACCATAGTAAAACAAAGACATATTTTTGATATTTATTTTATATATTTAAATGCCATTTAACAAAGAAAAATCAACCAAAAAAATGAGTTCGCGTGTCACCTCTGACATTCGTGCATAGGTTCGCCATCACTGGTCTAGATTGTACCTCCACATCTTCAAAAGACTACCAGAGACACAAAGAAACTTCAAAGTCCTTTATCTTCCATTTAGCCAATACTTTAAACTCCTCTTGTTTAGTTGTACTCTTCTTTGTTCCTCTGTTTATTAATTGTGGTTATTCCTAAAGGTTCTAGCCTTAGCCCTTTACTTTTCTACCTACATCCACTTTCCTAAACTCAACTACCAATTTTCATTAAACATGCTCAAATCTCTCTCCCTAAACTATCACCTGTACTCCAAACACTATTTACACATGCCTTAAGTATTTTTTACTTCAATATTGCCATCATCTCCAATTTGACACTGAGAATACTACTTTCTGTTTCTTTTGCCTAGAATGGTTTTTCTCCCTTTTTTATTCCGACTTACCTTTTAGAGGTCAGCTCAAGCTTTTACTTCCTCAGAAATATTCCTGACCTCAATTAGGTCAGATTCCCCTAATCAAGGCTCTCATACCACTCCTTTGAGCCTATGTCATAGTTGTACTTTTGAATATATTTATGTGATGATTTGAATAATGACTTTCTTCCCACATAAACCATGAACTCCCTGGTATTAGGCATGTCTTTATTTGCCCACCATGATATCCTCAGTAAATAGCAGCACTCAATATGTATTTGTTAAATGACTCGGATAGATTAAATAAAATTTAAATATTTCCCTCGAATTGGCTTTTCAGATTTTTCATTTGACTTTAATACTGCCAATCTTTTATTTCTTAATCTAAAAACTTAAACGTTTACACTTTGTTGTCTTTATTCCTTTTGTTCTTTATCACTAAGCTATTTCTCCTTCCCGTCTTTCAGCTTCCTTTTTTCTGACTGCTCCCACTCTTACCTAACCCCCTCACTACCACATGAGTAGTGCAGCAGCTTCTGCTGGTCCCCACCTCTATTTCTGTCCTCCAAGCCATCATATTGTCTTTGTTAGGTTCCAGTCAGCTCTGAGAACAATAACCTGTGAGCCCTTCCAGTGAAAGTATGAGAGTATGGCTTATTGCTCTTTGTATTCCTTTAAGATAAAGGAGAAAAATATGTTACACTGCTCTAGAATCTACACTAGCATAAGTTCAGGCTTTTCTGCATGGTTTTTAAAGGCTCATCATAATATAATCTATAGATTAATCCTTATTTCTTATTACTAATTATTCTCTAGCACAGTGGTTCTCAACCTTCCTAATGCCGCGACTCTTTAATACAGTTCCTCATGTTGTAGTGACCCCCAACCATAAAATTATTTTCGTTCCTACTTCATAACTGTAATTTTGCTACTGTTATGAATCATAATGTAAATATCTGATATGCAGGATGTATTTTCATTATTACAAATTGAACATAATTAAAGCATAGTGATTAATTACAAAAACAATATGTGTTTTCCGATGGTCTTAGGCGACCCCTGTGAAAGGGTCGTTCGACCCCCAAAGGGGTCGCGACCCACAGGTTGAGAACCGCTGATCTAGCATTACCACACTTCTTCAAGCTAGGCAGTTTTTCCTCAATGTTCCCAAAATACCTGATACCCATTTCTACCTTGGGCTTTTGCTTATGCTGTCTACTTTGCCCCTTGCCTAATGTGTCCTGCCCCCTATCTCAACTATTCCACTCTCTTACAAGGCACCCAAAGAGTCATACTTCCTGTCTTTCTGACTGAAGTCTTCCTCCCTGACTACTCTAGCCCATTGACATATTGTCTGAACTCCAATTGTACTTTATTGTTCCATCTATTTTTTTCCTTGTTATTTTTGGTTTTGTTTGATCTCTTTGAGATCAAAGGCAATGTCTCTTAATTCTGTTGAATCCCCAGAATACCTAACATAGTGCCAAGCACATAACAGGCAATCAGTAAGTGGTTGATTAATTTTACCCACTTTATAGTTCATTACCAGGGTTATAGTTACTGATAAAACATAGTGGAGAGAGTGAAAACAAATCATTAAGAAGAATTATTTTAGCCTGGCTGGTGTGGCTCAGTGGTTGAGCTTCGACCCATGAACCAGGAGATCAAGGTTCAATTACCCATCAAGGCACATGTCTGGGTTGTGGGTTTGATCCCCAGTAGGGGGTGTGCAGGAAGCAGAGCGATGATTCTCTCTCATCGTTGATGTTTTTTCTTTTATCTCTCTCTCCCTCTCCCTTCCTCCCTCTGAAATCATTTTTTTAATTAAAAATAATTTTAAAAATATCTGTAGATTTTTGTTTTCCTTTTTAGGTCTTTTCCTTGGTATTAGAGAGTCTCTTGTTAGGTAATAAGAGATTCTCTCTTATTAGAGATTAATAATCAGCTTAAAAAACCATTTACTTATCTTTGTAGACCAATAAAATCTTAACAATTGTTATGCTTCTCTACATTACCGCTCATTCAGCTGTGCAATATTGTACCTTCTTAGCAAGCATTACCTTAAACATCTAAAATTAATCTCTTTTCTACCCCCTTATTTATTTATTTCTGAGAATTGCTTAGCTAAGCGGTATGACCCTTTTATATTTTCTGATTTTTTCCTAATCCTTTCATTCTAAGTGAGAATAAGTTCATTATTCCTAAATGATTTTAAGGATTGATGACAACTTGGTATTTTACTACAGAAACAGGAATTTACCTGGGACCAAAACCATTCATTTTTGCAAAAAGCAATCGTAAGACTTTCTCCTTCTGCTCCCAAGTCAAATCTCCAATATCCACATTTCCTTGAATATCTGTCCTGAAGAATATCAAAGGAAAAGGAAAAATATGGTCAAAGTAAGCATCTCCTTTTTTTGAAAAATATAAAATATGTACATATGAGAAAAGAAAATTTCCAAAATATGTAAATATGAGAAAATATCTCCCTCTCCCTTCCTCTCTGAAATCAATAAAAATATATTTTTAAAAAAGAAATAAAACTAACACAAGTGCTCTATATGCAAAAAATTTCTCACATTATACATCAATACTCACTCTACATGTAAGCCGACCTGGTTCATAGGTTGGTTGGTGCTCAACCACTGAGCCACGGCATGTTAGTTTTCTTTAAAAGTTTAGGTTTTGCCCAACCCGCTCAGGGGTTGAGTGTCGACCTATGAACCAGGAGGTCACAGTTCAATTCCAGCTCAGGGCAAATATCCGGATTTCAGGCTCCATCCTCAGTGTGGAGCATGCAGGAGGCAGCCGATCAATGATTCTCTCTCATTATTGATGTTTCTCTCTCTCTTTCTCCCTCTCCCTTCCTCTCTGAAATCAATAAAAAATATTTTCAAAAAAGTTTAGGTTTTGCTTTATTATCACCATATACTTCAACTGTCCCTCTCCAATCTGCCTTTTAAGCCTCTTAAAAATCATTTACTTACCCTAACCAGTTTGGCTCAGTGGATAGAGTGTCAGCCTGAGGACTAAAGGGTCCCTCCTGGGCCCGATTCCGGTCAAGGGCATGTACCTTGGTTGCAGGCACATCCCCAGTAGGGAGTGTGCAGGAGGCAGCTGATCAATGTTTCTCTCTCATCGCTGTTTCTAAGTCTCTATCCCTCTCCCTTCCTCTCTGTAAAAAATCAATAATATATGTGTGTGTGTGTGTGTGTGTGTGTGTGTGTGTATAATTTTTTTTTAATGATACTCATCCTAATCATTTACTTATCTTTTACTTTCCTATTGACTCTCCCTGCCCTGCTGAGGGTTTATAGGGGGAAGAGTGCTCTAACAGATAGAAATGCTAAGGAAGCAATTAATAGGAAACTGAGGTTAAGGTGACAAGTTGCTCAATAGCAGAAATGTCACACAAAAGGCAGAATAGGAAGAGTCCAGTTTCCTCAGTAACAATGTATAGAATCAGTTTATGTACCTTCCTCTGAAAACTAATATACTACTTAATATACATAGACAAAAAAATTTTAATATATTTTTATTGATTTCAGAGAGGAAGGGAGAGGAAGAGAGAGATAGAAACATCCATGATGAAAGGGAATCATTGATTGGCTGCCTCCTGCACATCGGACCAAGCTCACAACCCAGGCATGTGCCCTTGACCAGAATCGAACCTGGGACCCTTTGGTCCATAGGCCGATGCTCTATCCACTGAGCCAAACTGGCTGGGCCATAGACAAAAAACTTTAAAAGAAACTGTCTTATATTTGATAGGGACTCAACTTGCTTGGCATTAAATAAATTAGAGGGAATTGTAGAGGATCTGTTGGTAAAAAAGAGTGTTATTACAGACTTCTGAATACAGAAAGAAGATTTAAAAATTATACACTGTGTGGACGTTTTTGAAGAAGAGTCTTATCTTTCAGAAGCTATTAACCATGTCTAACCTTTCCAGCAGCTAATTTAAAAGAGCATACAAATTAATCCACTAAAAAATAATTTAAGGCAGAAAATACATTTGGAAGCACTCTTAGTAAGATGTTAAGTACATAGAGGTCTGGAGTCCTTTTAAGTTTCTTGATTTAAGGCCTTTGAAGAATCTAATTTCATTGGGATATAAAACATAATTTTAACAATAATCTTTAAAAATGCACCATAATTTAATCCGTGGTTCATAGGGGGAAGAGTGCTCCAACAGATAGAAATGCTAAGGAAGCAATTAATCATAGTATATAATCTACAACTGTTTCAAGTATTCTGCTACCTTTATCATAGTAGCAGTACATCTCAAGGAAACTTGTGGGGACTTTTGGTTAATACAATGATAGGGGCACTACTGGGTGTCTTCCAATCCAAGGGACAGTTCTGTATAAGAAAGAATTGTTACAATGAATTGTTACTGGTATATTGATTTTTTAAATAATATGTTTAGTTAGGTATTATTACCTATAAATTTCATCTCAGAATAGTAAATGGAATATCTATATATATAAATCTCTATATATAAAAGCCTAAGCAACTGAATGACCAATCAACCTAATGACCGTTTGACCATTTGCTATGAAGTGCACTGACCACCAGGGGGCAGACGCTCGAGCAGATGCCCCCTGGTGTTCAGTGCATTCCCACAGCAGGAGTGCCACTCAATTGACTGACGGGTGCCAGACACTGGGCTCAATGCTGGTAAGTGCACCTGTGGTGGAGCAAACCTCTCCCGCCTCCACGGCAGCACGCTATGGAGCAGCAGCTGCAGCAGGCACAGTGGGCCAGGATGAGCAGGAGCAGCGCGGTGCCACTTTGTGCACTACTACATCCCTAGGGGGATGTCGTATTGCCAGTTTCGGCTCGATCCCAGCAAGCCAGCCTGCGAAACCAGAAGTCTGACATCTCTCGAGGGGTCCCAGATTTCGAGAGAGCGCAGGCCAGGCTGAGAGACCTCACTGGTGCACGAATCCGTGCACTGGGCCTCATAAATATTATAAAATATTTATGAAAGTATGTTTATAAAAAATGTTTAACCTGAATCTAATTAAACCTTTGTAACTAGTTTATAGGAAACAAAATAAAAGAGCATGTTAAAAGATACTGCAATGACATTCTATGGGAAAAAGTAATCTAGTCTCTTTAACAGTTTCTCTTATGAAGAAAAGAGGGCACCACTAACAATATTTATTAGGCCCCACAAACTATGCCAACATAGGGGTTACAAAGATGAGTTAGTTCCTATCCTCAAGTACCTCACTAAGTAATCTACTCAATACTTAGATATTACCAAACTGAATTTTTCAGGGTTCTTATTTCTCTAAAGGCACAAAAATAGCAGCACAAAAGATAAAATATTAAAGTATTATTAATACCATTTACTAGCCTCTTTAAGATCCTGGTCCACACTATTGGTGCTGTGCTCTCTGCCATCAAATGTTCGAATTTTGGGATATTCTGTTCTTCCTGCGTACGCCTCTCGCATTTTTAAATTGAAAGCAGCTTGTGCCATCTTCTTATAATGCAACCTGTTAAATGCAATCTCTTGCTTCACTTGGTGTAGAGCATCCAAAAAGAAACTTTCCACTTCTGTTCTCTCATCTAGTATGTTCTTGGCCAGTTTCTTCACTCTATTCATTTCCCTATTCTTCTTCTGAAGCAGGTTCCGCAGTTTGTAAATTTCAATCTGATCACTTTGGTTATTTACCATTGCCTCCTGCTTCTGTTTTAGAACTTCAGTCTCAAACTCTCTAGTCAGACAACTCAGGGCAGTCTCCAAGCTTACCACCTTCTTCTGAAGATTTTGGATTTGTGACTTCTGCTGGGTAAGTTGCATAACCTTTTCCTTAATCAACAGATCATTGATTTCCTAAAAACAGAAAGAGGTGAGAGATTTCTTTTTTCTTTAGTCAATTTCAGAACTTAAAAGTTCCTCTCTAATTTCCATTACTTTGTGAGATTTGAGTATGATGCCAAGTTGAGATGGGATATTTTAGAATTCTGTGTATAGAGAGTAAAAAACATCCTAGGGTCCTTGTCTAGACTTGTGAAGACCACTGATTTTGCCAATTAAGAAACTTTCCTTCCCCTAAAGTTCTGAAAGGTTAAATATTTTATATTATCAAAAGGGTAATTTCAAAATCAGTATGACTATACAGTAAAAACATTAATTTAACAACTATATACTGGAAATTCTGGCAGTTTGCTAATTACCTATCTCAATGTCCATTTTCTCTTTCCTCCTGAGTAATAAAACCCCAATTTTTTTCAGAAAGGCAGTAAACTCAGTTGAAAATTCCCTATCTCCCCTGTGGTTTAGCATAGTGATGTAGGTTCTGATCAATGAGGTGTAAGTAGAAATGTGTGTAGGACTTCCAGGAAGACCGCTAAAGGAAGGGGCATATATTTTTCCTTCTTGTCCTTCCTTCCTGCTATTATAGTAATGATTAGAGCTCCAGCAGCTGCTGTAGGCCATGAGGTGACTTTGAGGATGTAAGCCACATGCTGCAGAGCAGAGTTAAGGAACCTGGGCTCTGTTGGCTTTGTGGCACTACCATTCCAGTTCTGACTTCCTTTAGGTGAGAGAATAAACCCTTATGTGATGATGCCTCTGTTGTCAGAGCTGTTACAGCTGAACCTGTTCCTAAGTGATTCAGAGACCAACTCTAAGCAAAACAAAATGAGTATTCTCAAGTAGTAGATAATAGGAGTTGTATTTATGTTTCTGATATATCCTTTATAATGCTAAGTCTAATGCTTCTTAGTCATTCAGTAATTAATCTTTTGAGATAAGAAAGGTACATCATTCAGACAGAAGAAAAATGATCCCTTTGTCCTTATGTATCTTTATTATACTCAACTGCCCGGTGCATGCACAAAAATTTGTGCACTCGAGGGGGGGTCCCCTCAGCCTGGCCTGCGCCCATTCACAGTCCAGGACCCCTTGGGGGATGTCCACCTGTCAACTTAGGCCCACTCCCCGGGGGATCAGGCCTAAGCTTGCAGTCAGACATCCTTCTGGCAGCCAGGGAGCCCTCGGGCGATGCCCGACTAAAGGCTTAGGCCCCCAAGGGATCTG